GAAAAGATTAAAACAACAATTTAAACAAATAGAACATTTATTAAAAACAATAATTTTAGGTTCCTTTCTGTATCAAATATTTTTGCATCATTTTATATTTATACCAAAAATAGGAACAAATATAGGAGTGCATAAAATTATGTATCTTAAATTACCAGTATTAGGTTAGCTTAGTTTTCTGCATTTTTCTAAAAAAAAAAGAAAAAAAGAATCTAGGAACAAATAATTAATTCATCCATCCATCATCTTTACCCACTTCTTCCTTTTCGAGTCACAGGGGTCACAGGTGCCCATATCAGCCATCACTGTGCGAGAGGTGGGGGACACCTGGACAGGTCTCCAGTCCATCACAGACAAATGATTCAAATATATAAATACAACAGTAAACAGACTTCAACCTACCATAGGACATTAAACTTTAACTCAACATAAAATACAGACTTCACAGTTTTTTTTACAATACTGCACTAACATTTGTTATATTTTCAAAACTTAACCTAAAATGGGGTTTTGGGTGGGTAACAGAGAAGCATCAGCGAAGTGTGGAAGACTACATCTCTGCTTCCTGGACTGTTTTCTAGACTGGACTGTTAAGTGTCAACAAGCCGGATGTCCAACTGAATCGGCTAAGTTAATTAAAGAGAGAAGTGCTGCTCCATTAAGGTGGGATGGTTTCCATCTCTCTGCATCAGACTGGGTTTTCCCCAAAATGCACTCCAGTTGTCTACAAATCCTACGTTGTTTTCAGAGCACCACCTGGACGCCCAGCGGTTGAGTGACATACAGCTCAACATGTCATTGTTGGACAGGTTGGGGAGGGAGCTGGAGAAAACGACGGAGTCTGACATAGTTTTTGCGAAGTTACACACTGAAGCAACATTGATTTTCATGATCTCTGATTTGCGTAGTCGAGTGTAATTTTTGCCGATGCGAATAATAATTTTACTGTATTTCACCTTAGCTTTAGCCAGTAGTTTCAGGTGGGACTCAGTGTTGCCTGCTCTGGCCCCTGAAATGCATTTGGCTGTGGTTTGAGTCGCAGGTGCCATGTTTTGAACTATGGAGCTGCCAACAATGACCGTCTGCTCCTCGGCAGCCGTCTCACTAAGCACGGAAAATTGATTTGAGAGTTGAACGTGTCGGTGGTTGACCGAAGGCTTGGTTTTAGTATTATTTTTTCTTTGGACTGTCACCCAGTGGGGCTGAGGTTCAGGGTAGCTAAGTGGAGAAAACTGGTTTGAAACGTGGTTTGGAACGGGAGAAGAATCATTTGAAATGTGAACGGATCGATCGTGAGTTAGCATTAGTGGTTCAGCGGAGCCTACAGGCGCCTGGCAAGTTAATGATTTTTCAAAAGCACAGAGTTGAGCCTCCAGATCAGACAGCCTTTCCACTAGAACCGACACAACAGCCCAGATAGCAAAATATGATTAAATCAACGTTGAAATATGGTTAGGCAAAAATCCAACATTTTTCAGTCAGGTCATTTGGACGTTTCTTTTTTTTTTGTGCTTCTGGACCGAAGGCGAAACGTTTCAGCACAAAAAAAGAAACTGTCCAGATGACCTGACTGAAAAATGTTGGATTGTATGCCTGGATTATTGAGCATGGACTTTGTTGTTTTCAACCAGTTTGACAAGAATGTCAACAAGGTCTTACATTGAGGAAACTAAACAGCCACTGGCCAAAAGGATGGACCAGCACAGAAGAGCAACACCATCAGGCCAGGACTCTGCGGTCTACACTCATCTCCAGGCCAGCGGTCACTCTTTCAAGGATGAAGATGTGCACATCCTGGACAGAGAGGAACGATGGTTTGAGAGAGGAGTAAAGGAGGCCATCTTTGTGAAATGAAACCGTCCATCATTAAACAGGGGTGGAGCCTCCGGGTTCAACTGTCCCCCTCTTACAATGCTGTGATTGCTAGTATCACTCAGCCCTCTGTGAATAGTAAACAGCCATCAGTGTGATAATGATCCATTGTTAGGCTGATGGTCCTTCTTGAGCATGTGATCAGCTGGTTTTGGTTGTCAGCAGCAAACTGGTTGATCCACTCTGAGAAGGTGCTATTTAAGAGACTGAGCTGAATACAGCACCTCAGACTGAAGAAGTCTCTCGGATGAAAGACGAAACGTTTTTACAATTTTTTGTTTTGCTTTGTTTGTTTTTTTGTATGTCCAGAGGACCAGATTTAACTTTTTTAGATTTTTCTACCTGGATTATTGAGCATACATCAGGATGCATATTGTATAAAATGTTTAAAATTGTTAAATTCTCTTGGAGTAGAGCAGAGCGTATTTATAAGCGACCTCTCCCAAGCAAGCCAGAACCTGTGTATGCTCATATGTGAGCTGAGCATACACATGTGAAGCAGAGGGTTGCCATCTAAAGTGCCCGGGGAGCAAGTGGGGTGGTGGTTAAGGGCCTTGCTCATGGGTCCAGAGGCAGGTGTGGGTATTTAACATTTCCACCCACATTTTGATCTCGTCTGTCTTGGGAGTTGACCAGTGATCCTCGGATCACAGGCCCAGTTCAGTCAGGTTTTGGACCTGGACTGTTGCAGCTCCTTGACTCTTTTCTTTTCGAGTGATTTTGTTGTAGATGAACTGCTGTCTTTGGTCCTATCTTCAGCTGTAGGTTAAATGGCCTCTCTTTGACTCTAGAAACCTTTTGTGTATAGAGGAGCTCATGGTCCACTCAAGGACTGCATGGAGTCCAGGTTCTATGACTGTAAAATGAGCCCAAATCATCAAACCTCCACTGCTGTCCTTGACCGAGGTGTTTTTGCTATTATGTTACTTTTCTGTAAACATGCTCATGTGCATTATAGATAAATAGCAAAATTTTAATTGTATTTTTTTTTAAAGTTCTAAAAGTGTTGTTGTTCATTCAGATAAAACTTTACAAACCCAAGTATTGCTGCTATATTGTTCATAGAGAGGCTTTCTGCAACCCTTCCAAATAAGTCATACTTGTTCAGTCTTATTTCAGATGTCTTTTCAGAACTTTAACCTTGTAACCTGTAGAGTCAGATATGAAGCATGTTTTTATATTATTATTATTATTATTATTATTATTATTATTATCCATTCATTCCTTCCATCCATCCATCCATCCATTATCTTTACCCGCTTCTTCCATTTTGGGTCACGGGGGTCGCCGGTGCCCATGTCCAGCAATCACTGTGCGAGGGGCGGGGTACACCCTGAACAGGTCTCCAGTCCATCACAGGGACACATAGAGACAAACAACCATTCACTCTCTCACTCACACCTAGGGACAATTTAGAGTTACCAATCAGCCTAACATGCATGTTTTTGGACTGTGGGAGGAAACTGGAGCACCCGGAGAAAACCCACGCATGCACGGAGAGAACATGCAAACTCCACCCAGAAAGGCCCCTGGACCGGGGTTTGAACCAGGGACCTGCTCGCTGAGAGGCAGCAGCTCTACCAGTTGCGCCACCATGCTGCGCTATTATTATTATTATTATTATTATTATTATTATTATTATTTGTAATTACTCTTAAGCTAATTTTTCTGCATTTTTCTGTTCTCTGGTGTGGCAACAAGTGTATATCTCAGGTTATTGTTGATGTCTTTCCGCCTTGGCTTTGTGGTGACACACACCTGTCTGCTCCAGAGCAGCAAACTGACAAACTCTTGCTTTTATAGAGGTGGTCTCACTAATGATCCAGCAGCTCAGCAGCTCCTGGCTGATACTAAACTTCTGAAATCTTGTAGAAGCAATAAAGCTGAACTTTGTTTTTCATAATCAGTTTGTCCATTTTGACTGTTTTTGTGTGTAACTTTTGAGTTAGGACTTCTTTTGGATTTTTGTTTGCAGCCACTGAGTGATTTGGAAAGAAATGGCCCAAACCTGCACTACAGTGTGTGGTGGAGACGAAAAGATTCGGCGGAGGATTGGAACAACATGACCACGTTCCAGTCCAAACATATTGTACACCCCACTAAAACATATGTGCCTTATGAGATCAAAGTACAAGCCAGGAATGATTTTGGATCAGGACCTGAGTCTAACATCGTCGTTGGATATTCTGGAGAGAACAGTGAGTATACATACCATATTAACCTAGTTAAACAAGACAACCCCTTAATAAAAAATGTTTAAACCCATACCTGATTCCTTGTTTTTTGTTTAGAGCCCACAAGAGCACCCACTGACCTGCAGGTGTCAAAGGTGAGCAGCATCAGCGCAAACCTCCACTGGACACCTGTGGATCTGAGCTCTGTTCAGGGGGAGTTCAAGGAGTACAGAGTGAGACTGAAAGCAGAGTTTATATTAAGAAATTTGACTTTTTAACATATTTTTAATGCCTTGGCTTTTATCTGCACAGAGAACCTTTTGACCCTCTGTCCTCTTCTTATTCCCAGTTGTATTACTGGCGTGAGTCCAGTCTGGTTCCAGACCTGGTGGTCAATAAGGAGAAGAAGGTCAAAGGTTTTTACACCACTGTGGCAGCACCGTACGGTCTTCTCTCTGACTTGGTGCCCTACTCTAATTATAAGATGTTCATGGTTGTGGCCAACAGTCGCTTTGAGGGTCCACCTAGCAACACAGTGAAATTCACCACTAAGGAAGATGGTGAGGACACAGCGGAGTCCTGGACATCAGTTTGTAGACTGAACAAAACGTTTGCTTGATTTGCTTTGATACAATGTTGAAAGGTTTCATTTTACACATGCTTGTGAAACTCACTCTTGAATCTTTTTGTGCATGTGTGTATGTCTGTAGTTCCAGATGCTCCGAGGTTTTTCAGAATTAACCGCAGAAGTGTGGACACCATCTATATGGAATGGGACAAACCTCTAGAGCCCAATGGCATAATTATTGGCTACATGCTCAAATACCAATCAGGTAATTTGCGCTATTGCACATGTATTTTTTATGTTGCAGGTGGAATTATGTTGGAGAAAATACTCTCATTTTTTCATTGTTTACCCAAATAGAACCACACTCGATGGCAGGAGAAGATTTTTAACTTGCATGTACATGCAAGGCCAGATTTTCAGGACAGGTTACATAAATGTACACATATATAGACCAGTCACAAGAATCTGTATCAAGCTGCATTCTCTGCTCACTTTTATAACCTTACCAGCCTTCTCGGTTCAGCCAAGTTCACAGGGCAGGAGCGCAGGAGGTGTCCTCGGAGACAGCTGCAGCCTTCAACACCCTGTGCTTTTTGTTAACACAAACATATTGTTCATGGGCAGAGATAGTCTTGAGAGATAGTTATGATTATGTCTTGGGCTTCTTGGTCTCAGCCATAGTAATAAAAACATCCATAATCTTTGATGAAAAATTCTCTGATAAACTAACATTGATTTACTCAAATGTTCACACAATAACCAAACTGCAAAGAGTAAATCTGACCTTTACCAGTCCATCTTCAAATGGCTTAGATAGGAGAGAAAAGCATTTATATTTTGAATAGAAAGTGATAAGCAGGAGGAGTGTCCAGGAATGACCTAACAGAGTCATTAGGACGTAGCGTATACAGGCCAAAACAGAAAGACACAAAGAGTAACCCCAAATATACGCATGGCACTAAACATTTCTATGTTTTACTTCTTGCTTCAAACTTTGGCCCACCACAGAAGGCCTGGGACTTTGAGGGTTCTGTTCAGTATCTTAGCTGTTCCTAGGTCTGAGCTCTTCTGGACAGAGATCTCTGAGGTTGTTCCTGGGATCTGTTGGAGCCATTCTTCCAGTTTGGGGGTCACAGCACTGAGAGCTCTAATGATCACTGGACTACTGATGCTTGGACTCTCCACAACTTCTCTATTTCCTCGTTCTCTTTTTTGATGTAACAGTCACTTGGCTTTGGCTTTCTATATTCTAGAATTGTGTCACTCAAGGTGTTGTCAAGGAGGCTGATCTGTTACTTTCATTCTGGATATTGTTTTTGAAAACTTTAATTCCTCTTTTTTCTGAATATAAATCACATTTTTAACTATTATTTCCTCTGCTATCAGAAGCTGTGCAGCTAGAAGGTTTTTTTTCTGAAAACCTTTTACTTTTGAACATTTGTTATGAAATGTAACTGTGACAAGTGTTTCTTTACAACAGGGAGCAGCTGATTAACACCTCAAAAGCTCGCATAACTCAACTACATCTCCAAATCCCAAAAGAGTTTAAATAGAGGCACCATGGATGCATTCTCGTCTACCTGGTGGAGGTGTTTGAGTGCCTGATCGCCGAGATCCTGGAGCTGGCAGGAAAAGTAGCTTGTGACAACAAGAAGACTAGGATCATCCCCCCCCCCCCCCCAACACTTGCAGCTGGCTGTCTGCAATGATGAGGAGCTCAACAAGCTGCTGGGAGGAGTGGCCATTGCTCAGGGAAGAGTTCTGCCCAACATTCAGGTGGTCCTGCTGTCCAGGAGGACAGAGAGGCCTGCCGGGTCCAGGTGGATGGATAGGTATCTGCGACCAGTTTCTTCAGATCCACTGTGGGACAGACTGCTGTGGGAGATCCTTCCTGCCCACAGCCATCAGCATCTATAACAACTTTTGAATTAAACCGGGCTGATGAGCTACAACAACATTTAATTTCCATTTGGGATTAATACAGTGTTTTGAATTGAATTAAATTGCTCGATCTATCACCACTGTCTTCTTCTGTAGCTTGTTGACCACCACAATGTCTGACTGAACACCTATCAGCTGTTTGTCAGTCTGGA